CTTTGCGTCCTCGGCTGGCAGACGGGAGCGGCGAATACAGGTGAGACATACCTCTTGGAATCGATCAGCATTTCCTGGACCAATTTCTTTCGGAGGCACGCGTGTTGATTCAAACGATAGCGTTTCTGGCCGGAACCCAAATCCAAGGCCTCGTGATCCTCAACTATCCTGACTACACACCTGAAAGATGGCATGGCACGTTGTTGACGTTCGCCGTCGCCTCGTTCTCTGTTTTCTTCAACACCTTTCTCGTCAAGAAGTTGCCGTTGGTGGAAGGAATCGTGCTCATCATCCACGTCTTTGGCTTCTTTGGTGTTCTGATCACTCTCTGGGTCCTTGGTCCTCGCGGAAATGCGAGTGATGTCTTCTCCACTTTCAACAACTACGGCGGTTGGAGCAGCGACGGGCTGTCGGCAATAGTTGGGATTCTCGCCGTCATGATCCCCTTACTCGGCGCAGACGGCGCCGTTCATATGTCTGAGGAACTTCGCGATGCATCGAAAGTGCTCCCTCAAAGCATGATCTGGACCACCATCCTCAACGGTGCCATGGGCTGGATCATTCTCATCACCTTTTGCTTCACTCTGGGGAGCCTTGATGATGCTATCGGCTCGCCCACCGGCCAGCCCTATATTGCTGTCTTTTACAATGCAACCCAGTCGTTCGCTGGCGCATCGGTTCTCTCGGCTCTGGTCATCTTCATGGCCATTTTTTGTAATTTGTCGATTACTGCGACTGCGTCGAGGCAGCTGTGGTCTTTTGCGCGTGATCAGGGCATTCCAGGTGCTTCTTGGTTTGCATATGTATGAAACTTTTTTCTTTTCCTCTCTGGTCCATGTCCTGAAGCTGATTGTCTCGACCAGGTGCGGCCAGGGTGGGATGTTCCGATGAATAGCATCGTGGTATCCTTTGTCGTTTCCTGCCTGCTGGCGTTGATCAACATCGGTTCTACAATCGCTCTCAACAACATTACGTCGCTTTCCCTGGTTGCCATCTTGTCGTCATATATCTTCTCTATTGGCTGCCTCTTCTGGAGGCGCTTGACCTACCAACCTCTTCTCCCGGCCAAGTTCACCTTTAGCCGACCAATTGGTCTGCTTTTGAACGGATTCAGCCTCCTTTTCCTGGTCTTCGCTTTCATCTTCGCTTTTTTCCCCGGCAACCCGAAACCAACCGTTGAGCAGATGAATTGGGCCAGTTTGATCTATGGAGGTGTCTTGATATTTGCGGTGCTTCATTACTACATCCAGGCTAGGCATGTCTATGACGGACCCGTGGAATATGTGCGCAAGCTGGTGTAAATTTGGGGCGGGTTGTCTGCCTCTTTGTCCTGGGCAAGCTCTGGGACCCAAACTGATTGGATTGTTGCAGAAGGACGTGTTGTCGGAGAGGTCTTGGCTTTTATCTAGGTCAATGATGGTAATTGAGGCAATGTTTCATTCAAAAGAATCGTAGCTAAAGTGAAACAACAAGCATAAACACCTCGAAGCTGCCTATCAGCAACCTATCAATTAGCCCGGTTTGACTCAAGTAGGAATACTCTCTGTGAAGGACAGTCTCACGTGATCTATGCAGGGCTGGGATTCAACTCGCCTGACTTCCGAATATCCTTCGCGTATTAGCCCCAGAAATCGCGATGGATGGGGGCGGGGATGGGGGCCCTAAAGACCTGGGAGACCTAGCAAAGCTGCCCACCAGGCTAAGCCCTGCCACTCCAATCAGACCGTGTCTCGCGCGAACGCGCCTCAGGCGCCTCATATTAGTTTCTTGATTCCCTCAGTGCCAGGACTTCTGGTCCAGTTTTTCATCCCCTGTGCCGCAGTGTCCTCGCGCCTCATATACCAGGCAAATGCTTAGGATATTCAGCCATAGAGCCCTTCGAAGCTTAAACGCCGTGGCATACCCAGTAGGGTCCAGGGTTCGAACTCCAGGTTCCAGCCGCGCCCATCTCAAACGTAGCCATGCCCCATTCGTGCTCTACCCCGCCATCTCAAGACTCGGGATGTCCAACTGCCAGTGGCGCCAGAACATACATTAGGGGGATGGAGGTATGAATTATTGGTGATTGTCCCAGTTTCTCCGGGCAAAGACGTTTTGATTGACTGAGCGACGTTCTGTGCGGTCGGGATTGGACGACAAGGAAAAGATTACTCCGCGATGCGACACGAAGTATCGGGTGAGCCAAGTCTAGAGCTCGTGTTGAAGACGCGGCTGAGGAAGGAAAAGAAAGGAAAATGGAGGGTATAGGAGCGTTGCGAAATGCCCTTGTGCTGTCACTGGAAGCTCTCGCTCCTTTCCTCACTTGCCCTTCTCTGACTCTCTCCGTGAGCCTCACTTCACCACACCACGCCGCACCGCACCGCGTGTTACCATCCTATCCCCATATCTCAAAACCCTCAAGCACTCGCAATCTAACAATCATACGAGTTATATCATAGCTACAGCACAAGAGCTATGGCTCCCCACGCAACGGAATGCGGCACCGATGCCACGTCCTCTTCAGGGGGCCTCGACTTCACCACATTTTCAAATGTGATTGACGGCAAGCTCACCCCCACCGAGAAGACTCGCCATGGAATCAACCCTGCCACTGGCAAACTGAACCCTGAGGTGCCAGTCTCAACGCCCGAAGATGTGGATAAGGCTGTAGCAGCGGGCAAGAAGGCGTTCAAGGCATGGGCCAAAACACCGTATGCTGAGAGGCAGAAGGCCATGCTGGCTTTTGCGGACGCCATGGAGAAAGAGAAGGACGGTTTCGCGAAGATGTTGACACTGGAGCAGGGGAAGCCAGTAAGTCAAGAAAGATGAGCTACGCATGCATCCAGGCTCCAGACTCTGCAAGGAGGCTTGCAGCTGATATGTCTTCAACTCAGCTTCATTTTGCCTACTTTGAGATGGACTTCACCCTTCAGATCATTCGGACCATGGCAAATCTCGAGCTCCCCACTGAAGAAATTGTCGACGACGCTGATCGGAAAATCGTTGTTCGATACACTCCTCTCGGGGTGACTGTGGGCATAGTTCCGTGGAACTACCCTGTCTTGCTGTGCTGCTCCAAGATCGCCCCATGCGTCGTCACTGGCAACCCCATCATCATCAAGCCATCTCCATTCACTCCTTATGGAGGACTGAAGGTGGTGGAACTGGCGCAGAGTTTTTTCCCCCCAGGCGTCGTCCAAGCCCTTAGCGGAGACGACAACCTTGGTCCGTGGTTGACCTCTCATCCCGGCCCAGCAAAGATCAGTTTCACAGGCTCCAGCGCCACTGGCAAGAAAGTCATGGAATCCGCAAGCAAGACACTCAAGCGTGTCACGTTGGAGCTGTAGGTCACCCTCGTCCAGATGTCCGTTTCTAGCCCGACCTAACGAGTTGCAACAGTGGCGGCAATGATCCTGCCATCATTTGCGATGACGTGAATGTTGAGGAAGTTGCTCCCAAGGCAAGTTCTCCATCTGCTAGGGGGACACTGGTTCTAATTAACTATCCCAGATTGCGACACTCGCTTTCCTGAACTCTGGTCAGGTAAGATAACTGTCCTCTCGCGTATCCCCTTGTGACAGCCCCCTGGCTGACTCCCATCAAGATCTGCCTGGCACTCAAACGCATCTTTGTGCATGAGAAGATATTTGACCGATTCCGTGACAAGATGGTCGAATACACCAAGACTTTAAAACTCGGCGAGGGATTCGAGAACGATGTCTTCCTTGGGCCCATCCAGAATTCCATGCAATACGAGCGGGTCAAGGGCTTCTTCAATGACATTGAGAAGGAACACTACAACGTTGCTGTCGGAGGCAAAAACCCTGAAGGACCAGGCTATTTCATCACGCCGACGATCATTGACCGTCCCAAGGAGGATTCCAGGCTGGTCGTGGAAGAACCGTTCGGTAAGTCCTGAGTGCACGGCGTGTGGTCCTTTGCCGGAAGACGCAGACTGGATGCTGATGAGGAGCCTAAACAGGTCCCATCGTACCGCTCTTGAGCTTCAGCACTGACCAAGAAGCCATTGAGAAGTCTAACAATACTATGTACGGCCTTGGTGCGTCGGTCTGGTCCAGCAACCTCGAACGTGCTGCGGCAATTGCCAAGGAGCTCGAGGCGGGCAACGTCTGGGTGAACACTCATTTCGAGCTCGATGCAAGAGCACCCTTTGGCGGGCACAAGGAAAGCGGCATAGGGACCGAGTTTGGGGTGGGTGGGTTGAAGTCGTACTGCAACTCGCAGACCTTGTACTTGAAGAAGTGAGAAGAGAATGGCGCGGATGAGCACAAGATAACTAGGGGAAAGCAACGTAGTTACCAGGTACTTTGCCCTCTGATTTTAGCACAGTTTGAACGAGGCCATGTTCCTCGGTTGTGGTGCTCGCGAGACCAGTTCCGTTACTCTTGGGATGCTCAAGATGCATGTGAGCCCCACACCCGGAGGGTTAGGGCCGAGGGCATGGTGGGCAGTGCCAGCCAACTCGCCAAGTCACCAATTGATTGCGGGGAAGGCCCAGAAGGACAGCGAGAAGAGCTCCGGGCGCCCCAGCGGCGCCCCCCCCCATCCCCCCAAAATAACTAATTAACCACTAACCACCACTGGGAGCACCCAACTCGCTCCCCTACCCAGCATTGGCACATCGTAACTCAGCTTTCTAACAACAGTGCTTTGGAGACGCCGAGGACCAAAAAAAATCTCCAAAGCACCACCTTTTTGGGGATTGGCCCCTTCCTTCCAACCCAGTCGCAATTCATTGTCTGTCCGCATCATCGCTGTTTATCCATTTCCGCTGACACCCTCGTCTTCGGATCCAGCTAGTGTTCTGATCAGGAAGATGCCGCAGTCTCTGTGGCAATAACATCGGGACGACGTCCGTGGCACACTTGATGTTTTGTCGCAATTCAACAACCGACGCTTTGCGCACGCCCATTACTCCTGTCGCACCCCGGGCCTCTATCAGCGACGATCCAGGCAAGATTGCCTAGGTAAGATTCGACCTGGGCAGCGCATCAAATAACATGTCCGAAACTAAGCGCCCGCGCCTCGACTACCCTGCCATTGCCCCAGGCGTCAGCGACCAGCCTGTGGCGGATCAGCACGCCTCAGCCGATCGACGACGCTCGAGCTCAGCTAAGACAGAGGGTCGACGCCGGTTCAAGTGCACATATGCTGGCTGTGGTCGCGATTATTCACGGGCAGAGCACCTCTATCGCCATCAACTCAACCGTACGATCCCCGCGTCTTGGTACTGTCGATGGGATCCCTCCTCTCTGCTAACTTGACCCCCAGACAACCCGAAAGAGATTTACAAATGCGAATATCCGGGATGCTTACGGACCTTTGTGCGCCAGGACCTCTGTATCCGCCATCAGGAAAGACACGAGGTGAGAGGGCTGATGCGAAAACTGCAAGACCCTCAACGAGAGCCTCTCTCCCCACGGTCCTCGTTGAGCGAAGAAGCTGCCATCAGCCCAACGTCTCCTACCTCGAATATCTTTGCGACACCGAAGCCAGCCTCAGACAACCTCCATTCACCTCCTCTAGGGCGGCAATCCTTCTCCGGCGAGCCGGCTCTCAAGCCTACGGACCTACAGGCGATCATCCAGCAGAATGGTCGCGAAACGAACGGGACGGGCGAGCTTGCTACCTCGGAGACCTTTCGCCCGGCGCCGACGCGGCATGATCTCAATGCTATCCTTCATCATCCTGTACAGTCCAGGAACTTTACTCAGGCAGACCTGTCGTCAGATTCGTCCTTGACCACCCGACAACCTCAAGGCATCCCTGACAACGTATTCGACAACCTTGATCCTTCTATCCTAGGCAAGGCGCGGACACATTCGAGCAGCTCTCGGCTTCCCGCCGCCACCGATCCACAGACGTCGGACAGGTCTTCGGCTACATATACCATGCCCAACTTAGGAGATCAGACATTTAACGACTCGCCGGTCTCTGTTCGGGATGAATTCGCTGCCTGGCTGTTTGAAGATGCCGGTGGCTTCCATACTGCTCCGTTCTCAATGGGTGCGCAAGGAGGCATCGGCTTTGCTAACGGCACCGAGATATTTGGCAGTGCCATGTATTCCAACTACTTCGCTGACCCTGCCCTGGACAATGCCTATCCTGGCCTCAGTCAGCAGCGGCCAGTTGAAATGGCAACCCAGGCACCTGAGCTTTCCGCTGATAGCACTATTCTGTCCCATGCAAAGCGCATCTCGCTGATTGGGTTACTGGAACGCTTCCACGAGGGCGACAATCCGTTGGTCCGACAGCTCAGGGAAGAAATATTCCAAGGTAATCCCGATGCAGAGGAACACGTTCTCAGTATTCGTTCTATGCAACACTACATTGGCTCTTACTGGTATCATTTCCACGCCCAGATGCCGATCCTCCACCAGCCTACATTCTCCGCCGACGACACCCACGAATACCTCCTCCTTGCAGTAATGGCTATCGGTGCCGCATTTCTCAACAAAGCCCATGGACGAGCGGTGACAGACGCTGCTGCTCGACTGGCCACCTTCATCGCATGGCATCTACGCTGGCAAGTATTTATGCATAGTGACTTCCACCCACCGGCAAAACTTTGGATCTTCCAGACACTCTTGTTGCTGGAGATATACGAAAAAATGAATGCGACAAGGATGCTGCATGAGCGATCTCACATTCATTATGCCACCACGATAAACTTGATGCGACGTGGGACAGCTCTTATCGAGACGGCGAACCAGGATTCCTCCCGGGTGCCTTCTTCTCCCGAAGAATGGTGGGGCCGCTGGATCAAGGCAGAAGCGACCCGTCGTGCAGCCTATGCCGCTTTCTATCTGGACGCAGTTCATGCGGCTATGTTCGGCCACGCCGCGATGATGGTGGTCCACGAAATCCGGCTCCCTTTACCCTGTGATGATGCTCTGTGGTCGGCCACCTCGGCCGCTGAAGTGGGACGAGTTGAAGCTAGTTTGCATGCCAACGGGATCAAGCCCACCACATTCTTGGACGGGCTGAAAAAGACACTGACCGGACGGAAGGTGCGGACGAACAATTTTGGCAGAATGATCCTCATGGCTGGTCTATTGTCTGTTTCTTGGCACATGAACCAACGGGACCTCCAAGTGTCCAGCCTCGGCGTATCGCAGACAATGGGCGTGCCAGACGGCTGGAGGACGCCGCTCACGAAAGCATTTGACTTTTGGAAGAGAGATTTCGATGAGAGCCTTGAACACATGCGAAGGGCGACGCTTCCCTGGCAGAAGATTGACAGTGCATCAGGCGAAGAGGACATGGCGCAGACGGCTGAAATACTTCACCACCTGAGCCACATGGCAATGCACACCGACGTCATGGATTGTCAGATCTTTGCGGGCATCAAGCGACTCTTCGGCAGGATGGTGACCAATGCCGATTACGAGAGAGTCAAGTGCAAGCTTTTCGACTGGGCAAAGGGCCCGAGCGCAAGGGTCGCCGTCTATCATGCTCTGCAGCTGCTCAAGTCAGTGATTCTGCCCGGAAAAGGCGGTTCGAGAAGACTGTACAACGCCCGCGATGATTATCTTATGATGAGACCGTGGACCCTGTACTTTGCCGCCCTCGTCGTCTGGTCGTACGGGTTTGCTCTCGATGGAGTGCTCAGGCCGTTTCCCAGTCTTTTACAACCCGACTCTTCGCCCGGGGCTGCCTCTGCCCGGTCTCATGGCTCGAACCAGTCGATGCTCAATATGGCGCACGACGGCAGCGAGTTCCAGGTCGAAGCCGTCGTCAAGGACGCTCATGCGTTTCTGCAGACTGTCGGGGCGGTGAAGTCGCCGCAGCAGCTCGAGTCGATCAAAGACGGTCGGAACAACGTCGTTGGAGTGTTGGCCATCCTGGAGACGGCATTCCGTGATTCACGGTGGGAACTGTTGCACGAAGCCGCTGATCTTCTTCGCAATGCCATTGTCTTGCTCCGCGGCGCTAGTCGTCAATGATGTGGGAGAGAACCAAAAAGTCCAGGAAGATTTTTTGCTTACCATGTCCGTTCGTCTTTTTGTGTACAGAGTTAGTATATGTTTCATGAGCCAGCCTATTTTTAATCAAGTGCATCAAACTTCAACCTCAACTTCATTTGGTCCCCACCCACCCACTGTTCCTACCCTACGAGGCTGGTTGTCGAGCAGACACCCCGCGTGCGCCATGCATGAAATGATAACGCATGCCCTTTTTTGTCCAGACCCCAAAACACGTTGCATCGCGGATCCATGCGATGCAGCAGGAGAGTGAAGAGTTTCTGACAATGATATTGAGGCAGTCATTGTTCCGGATACAGGACACAGGTAACTGATTCCGTAATCGAGTGCCGAAGACCCGCCTGCCTACCTCTCTAGTTTTGAAAAAGCTGAGGAGAGAAGAGAAGGTAAGGGAAGGGAAAACTCTGGGGTAAGTAAAGGGCTTCCCTGACCACGTGCCTACGTGCCTGCCATTTCATAGATAGCGAACACGTCTTTTAAATGTCCAGACTGGGGTTGACCTGGAAAGCTGATATATATTTTCCTTGTGCACCCGCACCGCCACCTCCACGACGACCATGACAAAGCGCTCTGATACCAAGCACGAGGGCAGCCACCGTTGGCAAACCCCACGCCCACTAATAGCCGACTAGTCTTACTGGTAGTACGTAAATGTGGGGGTCCCACCCCCCTGGCTGTTTCTTTGGCGTCGCCGCCGGTTGAAATAACGCCGAGCTGCTCATCTGTGCGCCTCAATGGGTCCATGCCTTTAAAAGGTATTCTTTTGCATCATCCTACGGTATCTTTTACTCCGAGAGCGGTAGCCTATTGTTATTACGCACGGTGATTGAACGCGGGTAAACTTACATGGTCACTCTAGATGTTACCCTGATACATACTGGAACCCATTCGGACGCACTCGTCAATCAGTCGTGGGGATGGGATTGTGTACCCAGGATTCGCTCCCCTGTGTTAATTGATGACTTTGGTTCAAAATTTTTTGTTTTTTTGGCCTCGTCGAGTTTTGCTGTATTTCACAAATGGGAATAAATAGTTTTGCTTTCCGTTCTCGTTATTGCTAGCACTATTCAATATTCTTGAGCCCTCTTTTTTTTTTCCCCGTCGAAGCGAACCCCCCTTGCCCGCCAGAGCGATGGCTACGAGTCAGCTTCGGTCCTTGCAGGGCGTCACCAACAACCAGCAGCAGCACCCACAAGTGCCCGATATGCCGCTGGCCAAGATCAAGAGCATAGAGTATTTCCGCGTCAAGCCGCGGTGGCTGTTCGTCAAGATCTGCGACGACCGGGGCTTCCACGGCTGGGGCGAGGCGACGCTCGAGGGCCACACAAAGGCCGTCGAGGGCGCGCTGGACGAAATTATCGACCGCATCGTCGGTTACGAGGCTGAGTATGTACGGCTTTGCACATGTCCTTTTTGGGTGTCGTTCTCTCGATGAATCGGGTTGCTGAAGGTTGATGTGGTAAAATGGTGTAGTGATATTGAACATATATGGCAGACGGTGTGGCGGCTGGGATTCTACCGTGGAGGCCCCGTCTTCATGTCTGCGTTATCGGGTATTGATATTGCTCTATGGGACCTGAAAGGTAAGCAGCACATCCGAGGGAATTTATTCGCACATGAACAATCTTGTTGTAAAAGAGAAATTTTGCCCAAGTCTTGGGTCCCCTAACGACAGTGTGCAGGTCGGAGATTGAACGTCCCTATCTATCAACTCCTAGGCGGCAAGGTCCGCAACAAGGTCCAAGTCTACGCGTGGATCGGCGGCGATTCGTTCAAGGACATTGAAGGAGCGGCCAAAGCACGCATCGCGCAGGGTCTGAAGTGCATCAAGATGAACGCCACGGGGGCCGTCAACTGGCTCGACTCGCCCGCGGTTCTGGACGCCACGATCGAACGGCTCAAGATCGTCAAGGCCCTGGGCCTCGACGCCGGGCTCGATTTCCACGGCCGCCTCCACAAACCCATGGCGAAGCAGCTTGCAAAAGCGCTTGAACCATACCGGCCGCTGTTCATCGAGGAGCCTTTGCTGGTCGAACACCCCGAGGGCCTGAAGCAGTTGTCGGAGAGCACGACGATCCCGATCGCGTTTGGGGAGAGGCTCTACACGCGCTGGGACGTCAAGCGCTTTTTGGAAGATGCGAGCATCGACATCCTCCAGCCGGACATTGCGCACGCTGGCGGCATCTCGGAGACGCGCCGCATCGCCGCAATGGCAGAGGCCTACGACGTGGCCATTGCGCCGCACTGCCCGCTCGGCCCCATCGCCCTGGCCGCCAGCATGCAGGTTGCGCTGTGCACGCCTAATTTTGTAATCCAGGAAATGTCCCTCGGCATGCACTACAACGTCGAGGCCGGTGAGGAGGACCTCAACACCTACCTGGTCGACCAGTCTGTGTTCGAGATCAAGGACGGATATGTGGATGCGCTGAAGGCGCCCGGTCTGGGCATCGAAATCGACGAGGACGTCGTGCGCAGGATATCTCAGTCGACGGGCCATTGGCAGTGCAAGGAGTTTTACGGCACGGATGGGTCGATTCGGGAATGGTGAGAGCGAGAGGAGGTATCTGAGTGAGATGTGAGATTCCGACGGCTCGGATCTTCTGCCCCAGTTGCCTACCTACATGAGCCGTTAGTTCGGTAGTTAGCACGCTGCATATTTGCTCCATATATGGGGCGAAGATCCTACATCTACCACCCATACATACCCCACGAGAGTCGAAGGTGATAGCTCGGTCCTTTCCCCATGCTTCCAAGACATCTGGGGCTTTTCAGGGATGTTGCGAAATCCGTGCGTCGGAGCTCACGCCGGACGACTCCGTCTTTCGGTAGAACCTCGACCGATATTTCCTTCGCGTCCTAAGTGGCATGGATAATGGGTCGACGCGTAACAAGCACGATTGGTGGCTTTCCCAATTTACTGACAGCCCTTCATCTGTCCCCTTTCCCCGTACATTTTTCGAAGAGGAATCCGAATATCGACGTAAACATACAGGCGGCAAGAGACCTTCGCTCCCAACCACCAGGGCTGTGTCTATTGCATGTGAACGGGATAAGTGTGATTCCTCGGCAGGTCGACCAACTCTGGAGGCCTTACCTAACCGAATCAGTTCAATGCTTGATGTTTCAGGGGTTCTCAGTTGGGATATTGATCTTGTTCTCCCCTCCTCGTGAAATCAGATAGAGGTTTTTCCTTTTTCCTGGTGAGGGCGTTTCTAAATAGCGACTCTGTGAGTTTGGAGGACCTGGGGGCAGTGATTCTTCGAGAGAGGAGAGCCAACTTCAGAACGGAGAGAGACGAGTAGATTCTGGATTGTCGCGAGGAAGCTTTATTCGGGAGGAACGAGGTCACCGCAAAGACATATTAGCACTCAATAAATCAGTACACGGAACCAAGGAGGCGGGAACTGCTCAAGCACACAGCCCATAACAACGGTCGGTCACCGGACTGAGCAAAATCAGTCGAAATATATATCATCATCATGGCTCTTACTTTCCCTGGCATGTTCTCGCTGGAGAACAGGACAGCTGTCATCACAGGTCAGGATGAATTCTCACGTATGCTGTCCGCCCGTGCTGATCTGCCACAGGAGCAACGAGAGGCATTGGAGCCGCAATGGCTGTTGCTCTTGCAGAAGCAGGGGCTGATATTGTTTTGGTCCAGGTACGGAATGGCGGCAAGTCTCTGGAATGGTTTCTCACCGTGGTGGTATAAACCCGTGCATTCTGACACTTCAAGAACAGAGAGATACCTCCAGCACTGCCACAAAACAGGCAATCGAGTCCCTCTCCCGCAAGGCAACCATCTACACGGCCGACTTGGCTTCGCAATCCGACGTCTCGGGTCTGGCCAAAAGGGTTCTTGACGACGGCCACGATGTCTCGATCCTCGTCACCTGCGCTGGCATCCAGCGCCGCCACCCGGCGCACGAGTTCCCGCTCTCGGACTGGGATGAGGTCCTCCAAGTCAACCTTACCACCGTCTTCACCATGTGCAGAGACTTCGGGGCGCACATGCTCACTCGGCCGGGCCCACGCCGCGGGTCTATCATCAATATTGCCAGCCTCGTCAGCTTCTCCGGTGGGCTCACCGTCCCAGCGTATGCCAGTGCCAAGGGTGGGATTGCACAGCTCACAAAAGCCCTGAGCAACGAGTGGGCGGGCCAGGGGGTGAATGTCAACGCTATTGCGCCCGGGTACATCAGGACGGACATGAATGAGGCCTTGATCAACAACGAGACGCGCGCCAGGCAGATCCTCGAGCGCATACCTATGGGGAGATGGGGCACCCCGGAGGACTTCAAGGGCCCTGTCGTATGGTTGGCAAGTCCTGCGAGCGCGTACGTGTCCGGTCATATACTGGTTGTCGATGGTGGGTGGATGGGGAGGTAGAAGAGATGTACTGTAGGTGGAATGGTCGGGGGAAGCGTGCCATGTTGGCTACAGGCTGTTTCCAGGCTGGAGAATCTCAGCCCGGAGAAGAGGTGACATTGTAGACAAGACTGCTTCTTCCAACAGATACACAGACGGTGCTTCAGACTGCCACTATTTGGGGCTGTACAAGTAAGTACAACGCGTAAAACGTGTCCTCGTGGCAGGCAATTCGGAAAATCAATATTCCGTATTACTGTATCCCAGTCACGTCGTGAATCGAGGCTGAGAACAACTTCTGCATTCATCTCATATTGGATATCATGTGCCTGGAGTTTCATCTCCACAAGTCTCTTCTTTCATGCTTCCATATCAGTCTCGGTCGAGTCTACCTAGAACAAAATCATATCAATGTTCAACAGACCCTTGACCAGCTTTCGCCCGCGGCCCTCCTACATGTTGAACTTGCAAAAGATGAAAAAGAAATTACCGAAATCCAATCCATGCCACGACCCTACGATGGACTGGGCTTCATTCGAGAGTTCACTGCCAACAACAGGGTGTGTAGAACCTCCAGAATCGGGATGGGAACTCCTAATTCTCTTCCTTTCCGCACCGCAGTGCCCAAGATAACATCAACCTCCATGGGTCTTCCCATTTTGCAGTCCGTTTGCATGCTGCTGCCGATTGGCTGCATCTCCAGGATCTTGCCGATGAGTTCGTCGATCAGCTCGTACTTGAGGGGCACGTTGCACTTTCTCGCCACGTCGATGACCTCGCGCATGAGATTTCGCGTCATCGGCATGGCGTCAGGCGACGACTTTAGCCAAGAGTGGGTGTCCAGCATGGTGAGAGTCGTCAGGGAATTCCACGCCACGTTCCAGACTACTTTTTCCCAGCGTTGGATCTGGACGTTGTCCTCGACCGAGAACGGTGTCTGGCCTTCACGCAACAGTGACGTGAACTCATTCAGTCGGGCTCGCTCGAAGGCCGCATCAAGCGCCTCATTTCGAAAGATTCCTATCTGCGTGTTCTCTGACTTCCAGTGGTTCACGATCCCAGGAGTGTTTTGATTGGCACCCACCCACGTCTGCAGCATCATCAGTCGACAAAGATAGGACGATCAAGGACTTTTCATACCACACAGCTCAGAATGACGCACTTCGGGAATGCTTCTCGGAATGGGTCTTCGTTCCCGACACCGTTCTGAATCGGCACAATGCAGGTTTTGCTTTCATCAACAGCAGGAGCCAATTGCTTAGCGGTCGAAGCTTGGTCGATGGCCTTGTTCGTGCACACAATGTAATCGTAAGTTTCCCCTGCTTCCGCTGGCGTCCTCACCACTGCAATGCCACTGTCAGCCTCTTGTAGCAGGAAAGACGAGAACTTCACACCTTTTGCAGGATGTACGATATGATCGCCATGGTTCATGCTTATGATATGCAGACCCTGCAATAGCAACCGCGCGTTAGCCTTCAATACCCTCAGTTCGGTCGGCGAGACGAACATCTTTCTTGACAACTTCATAGTTGGAACGTGCCACCACAGTTAGACGGACGCGCTTCGTGCGGTTTAGGATGAAGGCATAGAACGATCCGATTCTGGTATGTCAGCAGGGGCCTTGCGGAGCGTCTAGGATCGACACCTACGCGCCAAGCCCATACAGCATGACCTTGATTTCCTGCGCCATGTTGAATTGTTCAAGCCTTTCTTCCCACGGTTACTGTCGACTTGAATGCGCAGCTCTCGTGCTGATTCGGGTTGTGCAGAGTTAGAATGGAAATTTATCCACTGGGTATATTTCACTATACTCGCCGGCCGTGATATTGTGAAATTTCCAAATTCGTCCTGGGGTCGGGAATGTCGAGACTGACGCCCTTCGAAGACAACAGATTGGGGCTTATCACTTTTCTGTACCCGAGACTGTGGTGTCTGTTGGACGTGGGGGTGTCTTCTCCAGGCACTCCGCACCGTTTCGAAGATAAATGACATGTCTGACGCTTGAAGCATGTTGTGGTTGGAGCTGCAGAGAAGTGTTCAACAATGAGTAAGCGGCTGCCATGATCAAAGACAGCCGATTGCGCGGGTGAGGCGCAGCACACCACTCTTTCCAAGGAAAGGCAATCTCCATTGTAAGTGAAGACTACCCTCGATCGAACAGCAAATTGTATTCACTTCTAGGCCAGGAAAAAGGTCCTTGTCAGCTGCACCGTTTGGATCCGGCGGCGGGCTCCTCGATGAACCCATTGTCCCACGCATCCTTGCCCATGCTCGGTGTCGGGCCAATTCACAAGTGGGGGAACAGCCGCCAATCCTTCATCCTTTCCACTACTCAGTGGTTGCTGGACTAGTAGTACCGATACCGGTTCAATGCTCCATCCCTATTTACCGGAATCTAAAGTTTTGGGTTGTCTAGGATGGATGACCTTAGCACAGGCGAGTTATTGGGATTCGTTCCGTACTCCTTCTCGTCTCCCACTGGACGATTGTCGATGGATAGTGGCGATTCATGTTGCTTTCCCAACGACCTTAGGATGCAAAGTTAATTAGATCCAAGGATAAATTCATCATCAGGATGAAGAAACTGAAGGGTTCGGAAGTGGCCAGACACAACAACAGGCGGTCGTGCTGGATCGCTTTGTACGGCAAAGTCTACGACATTACAGGTGCGTACATCAGAACCAGCTTCAGACCACGGGATCAACACGAATGTCTCAGATTTTCTCGACGCACATCCGGGCGGGCCACAGGTCCTTCTGAGAAGCGCAGGCCAAGATGCCACGGCTGAGTACGAGAGTGTACACAGTCCAGACTTGGTGGAAGAGACACTTCCATTCACCTCATATCGCGGGGTTGTCGACTCGGACACCATCCCCGAGGCCCAGTCGACAACAAAACGCAGACCGCAGCAGAAACGAAAGGCACCTTTTCCGCCATTGAGGTCAATGATCAGTGTCAATGACTTCGAAACTATTGCAAAGCTATACCTCAGTCCAGCCGGATGGGCCTACTATTCATCCGGGGCGGACGATGAACGTAGCAGATACGAAGCTGCTCGTGCATTCTGCAAGTTGGTGCTGCGTCCCCGGGTCCTTCGCAACGTGGATCAAGTTGATACAAGAACTACTATTCTCGGCCAGAACAGCAGCATGCCGGTCTACGTTTCGCCTTCGGGGTTAGGAAAGTATGCACATCCGGATGCAGAATGCGCGCTTGCTTCTGGTGCTGGGAAAGAAGGGCTGATACAGGTAATACCCACGAGTCCCAGCATGCCGATCGAGAAGATCATCAATTCCAGAGTTAGCGAGAGTCAGCCTGTATTTTTTCAGCTCTATTTCAATCGCGACCCCCAGAAGGCGGAAGCTCTGATTCGTCGAGTTGAGAAACTGGGTGTGAGCGCAATATGGTTGACGGTGGACTCGCCTGTTCTTGGGAAGCGGGAGCGGGACGATCGATTGAAGGCTCAAGTAAGTGCAAGCTTCTTTGTCACGCGATAGGAATATATTGGCACTTCTGACACGAAGCCAGATCAGTAAAGAAGATGAATTTGGCACACTCGAGGAACAACAACCCGGCGTGGCAAAAGTGGCTTCCAGTGGTCTGCTCAACCCGAGGTTGACCTGGGACGACATTGCTTGGATCCGTCAGGTTACGAAATTGCCCCTGGTTCTCAAAGGGATTCAGAGCGTAGAAGATGCCCTCCTTGCGTATGAGAAGGGGATCGAGGGAATTGTCCTGTCTAATCACGGAGGTCGATCCCAAGACACGTGAGTCCCGTCTCCTTGCTCCGCCTCGGGAAAGATCAATCTTCGGAGACCTAATAATTGTCACGTTTAGGGCCCAAGCGCCGATGGTCACCCTGCTAGAGATCAGACGATATGCCCCACACCTGATCAATGGCCGAATGGAGGTGTTCTTGGACGGCGAGATTCGTAGAGGCACGGACATCCTGAAGGCGCTGGCGTTGGGGGTGCGGGCAGTCGGGCTTGGGCGACCATTCCTGTTCAGCCTCACCGGTGGTTATGGCGAAGCTGGGTTCAGACGAATGGTCCAGATCCTGCGAGAAGAGCTCGAGTGCAATATGGCGCTAGCAGGGGCCACCAGCATCGGTGAACTGGTTCCGGAGATGGTCAATACGCAGAGACTGGACAAGGAAGTTATTGGTTCCATCAAGTTGTGAGAACTGCAATTGGAGGTTGCAGTCGTTCTGCCACAGTGGCGGTCAGGGCGATGAGACATGCAAGGGAGAAAAGGGCGTCTCGAATGGGAAGATTGTACGGGGAGCATTCCTGTGTGTACCCTAGAAGGTGACGCTTCGAGATGGTCCCCAAACGAAGCCAAGGCAGCTCTAGATCTTCGGATCGCAGGGGGGATTAGGGATACGAGTGCGTGTCTTGTCGGTAGTAGAGCCAAACTGGAGGCACGAATCCTGTCGAGAGCAACAAGACGAACAACGGCGTCTCCGCGTCTGTCTGTGAGCCTTGACCCTCCAAGTATCAGGATTGTGAGCACATGTTTTTCGACGGTCTTTTTCCCCGGATCTTTAGGTGGATACAAACAGAGACACCCGCCAAGGCGGATGGGGCAAAGGTCAATCCGGGCATCACGCGTTAGGCGCCTTAAGCGTAAATTTAGGCGACGTCTAGCCCCGAGTTTACCTAGAAGGAGCCTAGGGCCAAACTGCGGGGGGTGCCAGCGGGCACTGGGTATTGGGCATTGGGGCGCTGGGTGGCACCTGTGACTCTCTCCATCCCTCCTCCCTGACGAAAATTTTCTCGTTGAAGCCTAAAATACGGGCTGCGCTCGCATGACTCCTTGGAACTCTCTCGTCTTTCCCCGCCCATTATTTCACCAGTGCCACGACTGGTTCGTCTCGCGGATTCCGCCCTTCCAGACAGTCTCAGACTCGAGGTTGAGTTACCTGCCCATAATCACCATCGTCATTCTCCTCTCTTCTACCTCCTCACCTCTCCACTTCTTGTCGGCTGCTGGTCACTAAGTCACCTCTGTCAACGTCGTGTCAAGGCCCGCCTGTACATATATCACCCGCCGAGTGCTACGCCAATCTCCTACGGATTGTTTGAGCATAAAAATCCGCCTGACCAGACCACCCCAAGTCTGGAGGAGCCGGATGATTAGTCTGATTGACATTCCTGGCCAGTTTTGTCAACCTCGTCTCAGGTCGCCCCAATTTCGCTCTGTGGTCAGTCATCGATGGAGCTCTTATGACACGAGCCTCAAGAGAACAACAACCTGCGGCCCTCCTTGATCGCCATGCTGAAACGACTCCAGTGTACTATCCATATCCCCGGAGTCCGGCATTGATATTATCGTCCGATCTTCGCCCAGCAGCCCCCCTGCCTATTGGTCCACTGTGCAACCCCAGCTCATGGTTGACATTGAATCCCCCCTGCCGATGACAGTCTCTATCATGGATCAGTCCCGTCAATGGCAGGACCGGTTCCAGTGTCCATCTTGTTCCAAGTCCTTTGTGCGGAAGGCTCATATGCTCCGTCATCAACAGCAACGTCTGTGGCTATTGCATTCCCGGCTTTGCCTGGTCTGTGTGTGCTAATAATCGCCTTTGCAGATGTCGCACAGAGACCCTTCACCTGTAATTTCTGCTCAAAGTGCTTCAAGCGGAGGTAACATCAAGATCTCCACCTAGAAGCCCAAAGGGGGCTACTGACGTTGACTCAGTGATGTTCTTCGAGCGCACCAGTTTCGATGTAAGGAACGCGGCTCAGCGCCCGTACCTGAGGGCCAGTCTAAAGGCCGAAAGAAGTCTTCATGCCTTTCTTGTGTAAAGCTAAGGACAAAATGTGACCAAGAAAGCCCCTGTACTCGCTGTCAGGAACTTGGCAAGGAATGCATCCGACGTATGTGGTCCGTGCCTCCTGGAGCTCACCACCTTCTAACTGGGTGTGCAGCTGTGTCCAGTCCACAAAGAACAGAAGTTGCCCGACCTAAAAGTCGAGACGCCATCCCGATTCACCATCTGCTTAACGCTCCTGATGGTGATGACCTGGTTCCCCGATTCCCCATTCGTGACACCCCTCCAGGACTGGGAGGTGAGGAGGACGATGCGAGGGTCACCGAAGCAGAAGACTCCTCCGAGGCCTCACATTGGAGCGAGGACTATGAAAACAACAACGTCTTTGCTGACGCAACCCTGGCCGACCTGGATGTGGTGAATTTTGACTCTTTCTTTGGGGGCTTCGAGAACTTGACATTTGGCTCGTACGCCCTGAACGCTGACATATCACACATTACCAGCGTGGCAGGTATCGTATCTGCCTCTGCTATGGCGCTTGAATCTCGCGCCTATCAAATTAGACAGCTGTTGATGGGCGCCGCCGCCAAGTTTGCGGTTGAGTATCCGGACAGCCCTCAGCTCCTGCACTTGGAAACAAACATCGAACTCCTCACCCATGTCGAAATAGACCACTGTCTCAACCTATTCTTTAACAACTACTACCGGCACTGTCCGATAGTCCATCGCCCAACCTTCCAGCCCACCATTGCCCCGATTCCTCTTGTGTTGGGCTGTGTCGCATTGGGGGCGATGTATTCGGAGCCGGCAAAGGTTGTCTGGATGAAGAGTCTTCTGGACGTCATGGAAACATACATCTTCTCGCTGCCAGAAGTGAGGGACGAGTTCTTTGGCGCCCTGGAGTGTTCGCAAGCGCCAGATGAGGAAGCTTTGGAATACCACTTTCAAACGTTTCAAGGAGCATACTTGTTTGTCGTCGTTCAATATTTCTCGGGGAATCTCGCCGGTCGGAGGAGAGCAAGAAGGCAAAGGTTCCCTGCGGCCCTGAATGTTGGTCTACCCTGCCCGTTTTCACAGTCATGTCTAACTTGATCCCAGCTTGCTCGATACTTCGGCTTGCCAGCCGCGCAGCATTCGAACATGGATGCAATAACGGATGATCTCACTTTTCAACGCTGGGTGCGGACTGAGGCCCGTATTCGGTAAGTGTCATTCTTGCAGTCTGCCTAGAAGGTCCTCTCTCTCTCTGACGCCGGTTTCAAGGACGATGAATGTCCTTCTCGCCCTTGACTCAGCCATGGGTATCTTCAACAATGTCCCTCCCCGCATCAACTATTGTGAAGTAGATCTTCAGCTGCCATGTCACCCCGAGTATTTCGACTTGTCAAGCTACGCCGACATGCTACAGCGGGGTTCATTTCCCCGTCCACGGATGAAATTGATCGAAGCTTTCCAGAAATTATTCGTCCATCCCAGCGAACTGAAGGCAGCTTACCGGAACGAGAGCTTGTGTTGTTGGGATATGCTTTACCTTACCCACGGTATGGACTTGAAGGAACCCCTTTTTGTGCAAATACCAGTCTCGCCTAGACCACACTGACATGTTTTACAAGTCTTGTATACGCACTGTTGGCAGCATCTCTTTGGAAACCCGCTCAATCGAATATCGTCCACTTCACTGGCTCCTGAACCACACCTTGTATACGAACCGATGAAGACTGCCCTTGCAAACTGGAAGACTCTGTGGGATGATATCCGTGCAAAACTGTCCCGCGCAAATGTCAGCGATATGGGCTTTGAAACGTCTGCCGACAGCTATTGGACCCTTGTCAGAATGATCGTGCTGAAATTTGAACGCAAGAAAAGCGTCAGCAGCGCCTCCAGTAGCATAAACGGGGCCGTTTCTCACTCTACGGGTGTGTTTGTCAAAGAAGAGACGGGAGCCAGCGACGATGGGATGAGTGAGTCAAGCACAAATGGGAAGGGCCTAAGAGGAGCAAGCCCCAGCTTAGACTTCATGCCCCTCGAAGCGGATTGCGACAGTCAAGGTGCACACTTGAGGAAGATCCTCCAGAGGTGATTGCCATCATGGACGCGCAGCTTCATGGACGCACAGCTGCCTTGTTCCACTTGTTCTGGAAGCATTTGGGATGTCTAACAGAGCGTCTTGGCTGTCTGCTACTATTACGTTTGACCCTGTGCTTGCAACAGTCTGTCTGTGCCACTCACCGTCCCTGGCACATCAGAAGGCGTTCTGACGGAACAGCAAGGAATGCAAAACTCTCACAGCACTCTTGTACTGAATGTCGAAGGGTTCTTGAGTCTCGGCGGTGTCATAAGCATTACTGGTCAAATCTCAGGCTCGCCAAGCTCGCTGCAGCTATACCATTTGCTCGAAGTCCCGCCGATACATGTCATTACGAACCCCTGGCATGTTGGGTAAAGGGCGGCCAAGACTGGGAAGGACAAGCAACTTTCCAAGGCAGGATTTGGTTTCAGGTTGAGCCGTGCTTTCCGACAGTCTTTCCTAGCCTGTTCTCGATATGTTGTCTGGCAGCAAGACGCTGGCACTTGAATATAATGGAATTCAACTGATCTTCAGAGAATCTTTACTATATACACGAAAGACGATGTGCGGAAACGTTGAACTGGATTGGTTTTACTGTCCAGAGATTTCATCTCTCAACGCCGCCCCCTTGCTCCATGATGCTGGCGGAAGAGTGGGTGTGAGGACCCGAGCTTGGGAAAGACATTGGGAAATGATGCCGACAATATCGATATTCATAGCCTGCACCGCTAGGAAAGACAGCCTGGAAACTTGCACATTCCTAGCCCAAGGCTGGACACAAATCGCGGCAGTTCAACCTTCCATCTGGGTTGCCGGAATTGTCCCGCGCATCTGCCATGTGTGTTGCTGCAGGAAATGTGTTTTTCGGGAAAGGACAGGCCATGGGGAGAATACCCATCCTCCACATTCTCGGATGTGGATGGAACGCATTCAAGAAGTCTTCGGCGACCAGCGACCAGATTAGGAAAATGAGGGGTTTGCGGAGCCTATTTTTCTCTGGGCAGCGAGCAGCTTCCGAGGACGCGTCCAGCCTCTGGATGTCGTGGGGCGAGTCCGGTTGCCCATTTAAGTATTGATGTACCTTTGCTGGGAGCTTTCACCGCGAGCCAGCTCCCTCGAAGTCGATGCAGTTGCTTTGAACCTTTCCAATAGCATAGCCGCTTTGCCGGACGGACAAATCACAGTCTTTTCATTGCAGCATGTCAAACGCAGCCTCGTCCGCCCAGGGGTCTATCCCAGATCTCACAACTCGATACAGTGGCGTGCCCAAAAGACTCACCCAGGAAGCCATTGATGCCAAAGCAAGGCTGTATTCTCAGAAGACGCTTCCAGACAGTGT